ACAATCGCCGTCTGCCAAAGATATCCTAGCAATGACTTGTATGTCACATACTGGAGAGGAAGACTCAAAAATGGTTGAACTGGCTGGATTCTGGGTGTTGGAATAGGATGGTAGAGTCAACAAGGCGAGAAGCGAAGGGTGCTAAGATTATGAAGGTTATGAGAAGTTTGACGGTCATCACAATTATGAATAGTGCTACAAGTTTAACAGCTAGAGAACTGCCAAGTGATAGCTTCAGCGTCCGAAAGTAGAACAGCAATACAGGAAATTCTAAAACTCAGCCCATAATCACGATAAAATCGAGTCACGCTTGCGCAATGTTTGAGATTAGTATCCGGTTTTAGTGTTGGAACTTTCTCCAGAACCTTCCCATTACTATCGAGTGCAGTCTGTTTCGAGTTCTGTAGGAAAATTGAGTTTGTATCTGACCCGGAGTATCTCAGCAAAACTTTTGACATCGACAGTGACAATATTCATGACACTTCCCTAGGTAAGTGCGTTCCTTCGTGTGTAATAGAGCTATAGTTATATCAGTTGTAGATTGTTTAGAGGTTTCACTGATTTAGTCTATAGCAATAATCTTTTGTGTCGGATAAATTGCGCAATGAAATGGACGCAATGTTTCAGGAACGAAAGAAGACTTTGACTAAAAGAGTTTCATGATTGGATCACAGCTAAAAGAGCGAGAGATATACGCTGTAAGTTTAAGTGTTCGAAGGACATAAACATAAGTACGAGTGAAAGCTACACAGGGCCTAAGCCACTGCATCAACAATTATGGCGCCATCTAGGCGTAGGAACCCCCCCAATAAACTTCTTGTGCCCACACCATACAGCCGCTTGTGTATCCATTAGGTAGCCTGAAGCACTATCATGTCACTCATTACAACCTCTTAACCACACGCAAAATCGTGTCGGTAACCTAGACGAAATGGAGGGCCCGTACGTCCACAACACTCGGTGTCTTCATTTCCACCATTTTACATCAAGGCCTAGTAAAAAAAGCCGTCTCGAAAGGAGGCTTATAGTCCTTTGGACGAAAAGCTAAAGAGATATATTGGAAAATAAGGTTTCAGGAGTTGCCACTGCCAACAAACCGGGCCTCCTAAGAATTATTGTATACCCACCGACTCAAAGACGAGTCGTAGCATTGAATGCAAACTCAGGATCGGAAAAGAGGAGCCTCTAATTTCCGGGAGATTTGTGAAGAAATGGGTCTAAAATTGGATGTATAACAATATTCAGTTGATCCTTTGATAATCGTTGCAATTTGTTGACACAGCTCTCATGTGCATCAACTGAACGAGGAATGAAAGTGCTCAGTTGAGAAGTGGTAAAAGAAATATCAGGTCTCGTCCTATTGGACGCATAATCTAGACTGAAAATTAGAATGTGATTGGTGTGACTACTGTGAAGAAGAAAGACAGACAGCGCTACATCTAATCCTTCATTGTAAAAAATTCTAGGTGAAAAATAAAAAAACTTGCAAAAATAATACCGCTTAAACTAAAAAATATGTTTGGAACACAGATTGGGAAAACAGCATTACTTTGATTTCTTGATTCAAATGCCCCTAGGTATACAGATTATGATATGGAGTAAAATTAGAATAATGTGGAAAAAATCATGGATAAACTTTTTAGATATAGTTTGTATGTTACATCCGTGTCACAGCTTTCCAGTTGAACACACTTTAAATGTAAAAAAATTCTAGACTACCCGTGGAGCTGGCAAATGCTGTTTCATGAGTAAGCGACTCCCCTTTACCACCTGCTGCAGTTCCACTATACCCATCAATATTTGAAGAGGTTGCCTTGGCGTCCTGAAGTCTAGATGATTTGATTTTATCAGTCAAATTATATAAGGAAATGGTTAAACTGTCCTTTGCAGCTATTGATGGTGACATGAATTAAGATGATGATTGTGATTGAGATCGATTTCTATATAGTTTTTTATACATGATATGCTCAGGTTCATATACCTCGAGCCGGGCAACCACATTATGTTCCTCCAGATCTAGATTCATCAGAATAATTACTTACTCAGTAAAATTCTCCTAGTCTCAGCTGTGTGTTTAGGATCTTGATTAGTTTTCTAGTAACTAGTCAATGATGTTTCCCCTATCACTGAGACATAGTCATGGTTGATACATCAGGTACAAACGATGAATCGTGTCTATACATGACTTTGTGATATAGTCATGATCGTCTGAACTATATCAACTCATGAATGAATCATGTCTATACATGACAAATAATAGATTTGACTTCTTGGTAATTTGTTTGACATCTTCAAGATAGTGTCCCTTTGTACATCAATGCTAATTAGTACGAGTTCTTTAATTGGGAAAAAAGATGAAAGTTATTGTTTGACTTCGGCCACTCGCTGAACTGCCACTAATGACAAGATCATCCACGTGTATGCCAATTACTACTTGGGCCTTCGGGTATATATATATATATATATAAATTTATGTGCACTGATCGCTATATGATCTTTTGAAACTTGAAGTGAAAAGTTCTTTTATCTAGTTCCTGGTACCATATCCACCCAGGCTAATTCAGCCCATGAAGAGCCTTATCAACAATGACATACTTGATACCAGACATTACTTCGAAAAATCTCATTAAAACCTCTCCATGAGGGTTCCCTCCAGGACAACCAATTTTGTAGTCCATCTCACGGATTTCCCAATCACAAAAATTTGTTACGGCCAGAAATATCCTTCAAGAATTCATTCTCAATGTTGGAGTAAAAGTGTCGAAGTAGTCACCAACATAAGTTTAACTGAAAGCCTTTGCAACTTAAGAACGAGCTTGTACAGTATCTAGTTGAGTAAGTTACTGTTCTCGGCCAACTCAGCCTTTAAAATCTTTAAATTGAGGCTTGCAACGACCAGCTTTTTCTATTCCACCTCCATTTAACCCATATTTGCTTTTTACGTCAATCAGCGAGAGGTCCCGTTTAATTTTGAGCAAAAAGATCTTTGTTTTTATTGTCTCTATCATATCGCTTATGATTTGGCCGTTTTTGGCTTTTTTTCTGCCATCAATAAAAGCCTTAATTGGATTGCCTTGTGCTTATACATGATATTCCTACTCCGAACTGAAACATCTAGGATTCTAGGTTGAGTAATGCTGTCGATTGTACAAAGATCTCAATATCTTTATTATAGGTCTAGTGCATCGCATATTCCCCATCGCTGTATTCTGTAACGATACTTGGCAGCTTGGTTGGGTGTAACATCACGGCTTCTACTCTCCTTGTTCGTGCGGCTATCTTTATGGCCTGCGCAGAAAAAACTGATGCCTAAGATAATTTTTCACAGATGCACGGTGCTTCTGTAGTCTCAGATAACATTCGTGGAGAATTTTGAAGAATTTTCTTGACAGCGTCTTCCATGGCTTTCGCTCTATTCTCTATTGGTGCAGATTCTTAATGTATTTCTTGTTACATCGGTCAGTGCCTCTAAATAGCTTTGATCGCGACGCTTTTTTCCGTCCTAGAAATCGTATGTATCGGGAAATTTTGCTGACAAACTTAAATTGCATCCTTTTTATGATATTATCGATAAGGCTTAACATGTCAATGGGAATTGCGAGTATACTGTCCACGTTATCTTGAGATAAAGTCTTCGTTCTTCGGGACAAACTGATGCTAGTACCAGGCTTTTTATATCTTCAACCGCTATACTTTCGAACAGTAGGTGGAATTTTAGGAATGAGTAGATAGACCTCTTGGAATTGAATATGATATTTCATGAAATAAAAACGTTTATGGAGTGCTGTACAGCTTTTTCTGCAATTCCGTGAGCTCCAAATAGTAATGTAGAGTTGAAAATAATAGGAGCTGAGAACTCTCGTGTTGAGGTTAACTCCGGTGGATATGGCTCGCTGGGTTTACTTGAATTGGAGAAGATATCCCGTAGAGTATTAGCAACTGGCATCCAGCTAATTTTGTCTTCTACCGTATCTCGAACGATATATTTTTTCCCACAAATCGGAAACAAGAAATGATAAGTTTCCTGGATGCTTGTTGAGCTGGTAAACTATGTGAAGTCTAGGGGCTTAATCCGAATCACTCTGCATAGCGCCTTACATACGATAGTCACATATCATTCTAATAAATATGATTGTAAATAGAGCACTGTTTATTGTTAGCCTTTGAAGTCGAAGAATTCATGGATTGAGCTCTTTGGCGATCTGATATGATCCCCTTTAGGGATGAGCCATGAACAAAGGGTTGCGATCAGAGGTAAAGCCGTTATTCTTCTAAATGTAATATAAATATGGCTACATTACCTGAGACCAACTAGATTTCAATAGCACCGAATGTACGTCGAACAATGGTTATTCAGTAGATGATCGTTTGAGCGAAGTTTGCCCATCACACAGGCTACTGCCTACATTCCTCCGGACTATGCGTAAGGGCATGACCCTTAGTAGCTATCATAAAATTTTAACACTATCAATATTCATATTATTTTTGAGGCTGTTTAGGTAGCATTAACAGTCTATTATTATCATAGACTCAATAGGGTATTAGGGTTTGATCGATTCATACCTCGCCGACGCGTCATCCCCCCAATTGATTCGAACTTTCGGCATATCGTTGTTCCGTGCAAATTCTAATTCCGGACAGATGGTTTCACGTGACATTATATTATCGAAAAAGCTAATATGATCGCCACAGTTGTTGACAATGGTTCAATACAAGAGATTACAATTAACTCAACAGTGTAATCAACGAAATCATCGGTGGCCGTCAGTCTAGCTCTGGCTCAAATATTTAAATTCCTGATCCAACTTCTCACTCTCAATCTCCAAGTGTGACATCAGTCTTGTGTGGCTAAAACAGATATCTGGGACGTAATTTTCAAGCCTAAAACTTTGGCCCAGCTCTTCCTCCTGGAAAATATCGCTAACGCTTGTTATCAATCCCTGTTCAATTATCTGTATCGAGCCTTGAACTTATAATTTTCCTACGACTGTTCAGCTGGTATGGCCCATGGATTGGCTTCCGCTCCCGCCACCCCTTCTATTAAGAGACAGAAAACAGCTACTGGCTACAAAGCCACTTCTATATCGAATCAAACTGGATCAATTTTGGCTCACGATAAAGGCAAAAGTAATGAAGCTGGTCTCGGAATAATTCCCGAAACACCGGGCGGCGCTGATATAAAATCGGCTCGGATTAATAATTTTCCGATACAACCTTCATCCACTACAAAAGCACTGGGAGGCCACATACAGGTGCCCGCATCTTCTCCACTACCTATACGTATAACTACCGGTATAAATAGTTCACCTTGCTTAGTGCAGCCAAAGGATAGAAATAATCATGTCCAAAAAATACAGGGCACCTCATCGACACGTGGCAATCTACATGCTCGGAATGAAGCCCCAAAATTTTTAGCGAAGAGACTTCCCAGTCTTACAAGTTCGGATTCCGAAGAACCCTTGAGGGACCCCAGTAATGTTATTGTGATTGATGATGAAAGTGAACTTATTCAAGGGCATAGTTCGGATGCCGAGGCTGAGAATATGGACCCGGATATTCTCCCATCCAGCTTCACTCGGAATCGGCCAAAACTTTCCCCTAACGCCCGTTTCAAAAGTATAGTCCAGAATTCAGAATTTCAGGGCATTAAATCAAACAACGCAAAATCTGTAGTGCCAGGTCATAATGATTCTGCTCAGAAATACGCTATGTCATCACAAGTCAGATCCGAAAGAGCGAGAGCTGTAATCGACATTTCACTGGAGGAAATTTCTGACAAGGAGACGAGAAAGAATGTCAGCCGTATCCGGTCTATATTTCCTTCTCTTTCTGTTTTAGCCGCTAAGAATGCACTTGAAGCATCTAATGGCAGCTTTGTTCATGCAACGAACCTACTAGCTGACGCTGATAATTCACCACCTAGGGTCGATAAGACTACAGCATCTGTTATTTCTCTTTGTGATCTTGAAGACTCACCACCCTCAAAGAAACAGGAACATCAAATGAAACGATCTTTAAATACCCCAACTCAGTCTATCAGAGACAAATATTCGTCAACACAAACATCTCAGTCTAAAACATCCAACAATTCTCAATCTGTCGCTTCCTTCAAGCAAAAAAAAAGGCTTGTTCAGGGTCGCCGAAACTCGCCTCCCCACGATGCTTCCAACATTTCTTCGCCAAAAAAGCCACCATCTGTTGCAGATTACATATCATTATCGGATCTAGATTCAGAAATTGAATCTAATATTCAAGAAGATGGAGACGGGCTTGAGATACGTGTTCTAAAATACTTGAACACTTGTGATGCTTCTGATCTAGTCGAGCTCACAAATATTACCAAAGAAAATGCCGAGGTAATGCTTGCCGCCCGGCCTTTTAAATCTTTGGATGGAGCTAGACGTGTCGAAAATACAAAGAAACTGAAAAGCGGCAAGAAAAGTACACGAACCCCAGTTGGTGATCGGATCGTTGATACCGCTATGGACATGTTTCGAGGATATGAGGCTATTGATACGCTTGTTGCAAAATGCGATGAAATATCTAAACCGCTAATGGCAGAAATGAGTAAGTGGAATGTCAATATCTTTGGGACCAGAAAAGATGGAGAACTAGGCATAACCTCACTTGATGCTACAGAGCTGCATTATAATGAAGATACCAAATCTTCTAGTGAGAAAGCAATTTATGACGTGGCCGAAGATGAGCCTAGAGCTTTAGCCAGAAAAGGATCCAAATCTTTGTTTTTGGAAAAACCTAAATTGATGGCGAGCGATTGTATCTTGAAAGACTATCAAATTGTTGGGTTGAACTGGCTAGCTTTGATGTCAAGAGTTGGCTTGAGTGGGATCTTAGCTGATGAAATGGGTCTTGGGAAAACATGTCAAGTGATTTCTTTCTTGGCACACCTTGTCGAGATTGGTAAACATGGACCTCACTTAGTAGTATGTCCTGGCTCGACCTTGGAGAATTGGTTGCGTGAAATTAAAAGATTTGCTCCTAAATTAGCTTTTGAGCCATACCATGGCCCCCAAAAAGAGCGTCAAGAAATGGCAGAGGCAATTCTTGAAAATAGAGCCAATATTAACATTGTTGTGACTACGTACGACATGGCTGCCAAGAAAGAAGACAACAAGTTTATGCGGCGACTCAAACCAGATGTAGGTCAGCCCAGCATCTAAAAGATAATGTTAATTAGATTCTAGGTTTGTGTATATGACGAAGGACATATGCTGAAAAATGTCAAATCACAAAGATATCAGGGTCTCATTAGGATACCTTGTCGGTTTAGGCTATTACTTACTGGGACGCCTCTACAAAATAACCTCCAAGAGCTCGTGGCTCTCCTTGCTTTTATCTTACCTGATATGTTTCGGGACCTCGAGGAGGATTTAAACACAATTTTTAAGGCAAAGGCAACTACAACCGACTCTGATCATGCAGCTCTCTTATCAGCACAACGGATTGCACGGGCTAGATCTATGCTCACACCATTTGTTCTTCGGCGCAAAAAGGCTCAAGTGCTCAAGCACCTTCCTGCAAAGTACTGCCGCACGGAGTACTGCGCTCTACACAAGCCACAGAGGGATATATATGAAGGACATCTCGATCAAGCCCGTGAACGCGCCCGAGCCCGACTCGAAGGTGCCAAGTTGACCAAAACCGATGAGAACAATCCACTCATGCAACTTCGCAAGGCTGCCATACACCCTCTTCTTTTTCGCCGCCACTTTGATGATATGAAGATAGAGAAGATGGCAGATATTCTTCGTAAAAAGGAACCAGTTAACTTTCCCAGCAGTCATAAACGTGAACACTTAATAGCAGAAATGCGTGGCGGTTCTGACTTTTGGCTTCATCGTTGGTGTTGTGAGTACCCGTGTATCGCCAAGTTTGATATTCCTGACCTTGCGTGGATGGATTCGGGAAAGGTAGAAAGTATGATCAAGCTTGTCAAAGATTATAAGGAGAATGGAGACCGCGTGCTTCTATTTTCTCAGTTCTCGCTAGTTCTCGATATACTCGAAGCTGTCTTTAATACGTGTCGTATTGATTATACCCGTATTGATGGTAGCACGAAAATTGATGAGCGTCAATCACTTATTGATACCTTCCGAGACGACGAAAGCATCACAGTTTTTCTTCTTACGACTAAAGCTGGTGGCACAGGAATAAACTTAATGTATGCCAACAAAGTTATTATCTTTGACGGTTCCTTCAATCCTCAGGATGATAAGCAAGCCGAGAATCGTGCACATAGGGTGGGCCAGACTCGTGAAGTGGAGGTAGTACGGTTAGTCACGAAAGGCACTGTTGAGGAACAAATTCTCGCACTCGGTGATAGCAAGTTACAACTTGATGGGAGGGTTGCTGGTGATGAAGATTCAGGAAAGGCAGAGGCAGCCGGGGAAAAAGCAGTAGCTCGAATGCTTCTTTCAGAGACTGACTCGCACAAAGTGATCAATACAAGCACTGGAGGAGAGATTAATGATTCGCAGGAAGCTAAGGTAGAAGTCAAAAAGTCCTCAGCAACAATGAGAAAAAAAAATACAATCCTTAGTATGCTTACCAAAAAAGAAAAGAGTTCAACTACGAGACAGAAAACGGTCCGATGAGGCGAATAAAAATGACTGGGAAGAAGCGTTGAACTTTTTATAATGTGATTGAATCATTGGTAATGAGAAGACGGCCCATCTTAATGCCTCGCACGGCTCACAAAACAAGGTTAGTGACCGCATAATGAATGCCGTCAAGTTAATGTAATCTAAATTTAGTATTCTTTGATTGATATAATTTTATTAAATAAATACTTCATTTAACTTTCCAGCAACCTTTCACTGTCACTGCATCCTTAAATCTACGCCTTGAGGGCCGAGTGTATTGAAATTGGGTATATTAAGGTTAGGAAATGGTTGATACTCTTCAATCTATGATATACTAACGCTGATTCCATAATTGAAACATGTGGTATTTATCTCGTCTTATCACCTAAGTATTATTCTAGACATTTTAATGTCCCATAAATTCCCTGATCTCAGAGACCTAAAAGTTTCGGACGCCTTCAAAGAACACTGTATACAGAGGTGCACTTTATTCTTATGAAAACTATCAATTCTCTCACCAATGAAATGGTACTGCTGAGATTAGTGCCCTTTTCCTATCATATTGTAATTTTTATAGGTATGAAAACAAGTAATACCCATGGTCTACGCTAGGTAGCACATACAGTATCAAATTTCTACCAATGCTCTGATAGAAATATTTTAGTAAGTTCTACGATATTTTTGGTTTGAAGCTTTCATCGAAATTAAACGATTTAAAAGAGTACTCCCCAACATCTAATAGCGGAAAGTTGGTCCGAAGCCAGGGAGAGGCAGGAAGGATTACTATATCCCAAAAGTGGGCTAACTCAAGGCGAAATTCTAGTCTTAGTGCAGATCCTAGATAAACAGACAAAATGAAAACCAAAGTCTTGAGTCTAGCTAACCTCCACGTAGATAAGAAGTTCGTTACTAGGCTTAATTCCTATTTGTACCTAAGAAAGGTACCTTGAGTCAATGACTGAAAATTTGCATGCAAAAATCCACTTCAAAAAATTTGGTACGTGTTGAGAGGTTGGCTAAATTGATATAATGCGAGATTATAAGTCTAGAAGCAAGCCAGTGTTTGCTGACTTGAGGGAATAATGAATAGTCATGAAAATATATGAAGGATTAAATGGTAGATTCTGGAATAGAGATAACTGGAATAATTCGGTTGACAGAAAAAGCAAGTGGTAATGAAAGATATTGACTAAGCTGGGACGATGAGAAAGATTTCACACTGGATCTAGTGGTGAGAGATAATATCTCGTTAGCAACATGATTGTGAACGTGAAGGGGGATCAGCCTCAAGGTTTCGTCCAGAATATTAATTAAAGCTTGCAGCCCCCTGCGTAGCTTACAGGGCGCGAATTCGGATTGAATGAGCCGGCAAAGACGTATTCTTCACCTTCCAGTGGTGCCGGTATAATCTCTCAGTATGCTCTGCATATCTGGGATAGCCAAGAAGAATCGCATCCAACTCGAATTCGAAGGCACTCGCAAGCACATCTAAAATCGACGACTTATCGTCAATGTTGGACCTGTAATTCTCATGCGAGTCCTCCATCTCAATCTTACCACACTACCTCGCCTCAAATACCGATAATGGCGTTAGTCCAATTGCAATCGGGCATTTGCCTCATCAAAAACCGGCCATCTCTCACTACACATTTACGATGCTATGTATACCCGCGAGGAGGAATTCAAGTCATAATCTACAAAGCTCGGGTCTTGATCTATAGGGGACCGTTGCTCTAATTGGGCTTCAAATAGTGAGGGAGGATAGGCAGCTGAGACTTGGGACGAACGAGTGAAGAGGTCACAAATGGGCATGCTGGGACGCACATTTTTCGAGTGTCTTCGACTTAAGATTGTCTGTGGGTGTAGAAGCAACGATTTCGGATAGTGCAACCGAAACTTTAAAAATAGGCAACGATGGAAGGTGTTTTGGTCCGCCTCCTGGTCGTCATCTCCCGAATTAAAGTCTGTGTAGCCTGGACACCTACCTCACTCGAGAAAGGGAGGAATGTGAGGCCATATCTCGCGCGGCGGCTATATACAGGATGGCAAAGGCACGTTAGGGTAGCCAAAGGTTTTTCCTGATTTCACTTTGGTGAATGTTAACGGTAGAGGGAAGGGTGAAAGACTCTGGCACAAAGGTCTCGAGTGGTATCAGCGAATGCACCCACCATACGAGCAGTCCAAATATCAAACTGAGTTATCGTCGTATATAGTCGCTGGGCAAGGACTCGCCTTCTCTGTGTCATGCTCTTTGAGTGCAGGGCTTGTGCCCGTCACGAATAAATTTTCATCTTCATCTTCGGATTGAATGAGATCAAAATCAATCATGTTTACTTGGGCTGTCTTGTTAGTAGAATATTGAAGCGCCTAGCGGAAATGACTATGATTCTCCTTGAAAAGAATGGAAACCTCCCTGAGATGAGTTAGGAATCTATTGGAAGATTAGAGTCCATGGAGCGGATTCATGGCTCTGGGCGAGGCGCGAAGTGAGGATAGGAAGAGTATTCTCACATCCAATTTTTCCTTGACCCATCTCACACACAGTGGGTAATCGATGATCCTGACATGAATGCTCACTTCTCTTGGTCCGGAGAGGGAAACTTGGCACCTTTCAGCCTAGTCCACTACGAGCCTCTAGCTCTCACTGTAGATCCTTTAGAGCCGAATTTGAGCAATACCTTTTGTTGAAATCTAGACATACCAGACCGAACTGCACGCAATATGTCATGTAGAGATATAGTCATGGTTGATGCAGCAAGTACAAAGGATAACTATGTCTCGTGACAGGAGAAGCATCATTGACTAGTTACTAGAAACCTAGTCAAGGTCCCAAGCACACAACTGAGACTAAAACTCTACTGAGTAAATAATTATTCCGATGAATCTAGGTCTCGAAGAACATAATCTGGCTGCTTGGCTCAAGGTATATGAGCCGGAGTGTTGACAGGACTTAAGCACTAGTGCTGGGGAATGGAAATAGAGTGTACTGAATTGTATATATTATTACATCTATCTAGGGTGTTTCGAACGTCTACGGATTAGAAGAGACGCACAGGCCTCTCAATATTAGTCAGCTATTATTGTCTGTCAAGCCTAATGGCCTGAGGTCGCAACACCCAAACTGAGTGAAACCAACATGGAGCATATAATATGTAATAAATTACATAGAAATCTATCTCAATCACAATAGTCATCTTAATTCAGGCCACCGTCAATAGCTGCAAGGGAAATCTTAACCATTTCCTTACGCGATACGGAGTAGAACAAGACTACTCGCCCTCGATCGCCACCAGCCTTGGCGAGGTTTCGGTTGGCTACATTATTCCATCACGTATTCAGAACAGAATGTCTCTGGCTAGGCGAGGTAGAACATAAATATTTGGTAGTGGATTGACGCCTAATACCTTCAAGAATAAACACAATAATCCAAACTCTTCCTGTTCCAAATCTTTCATCTTCAATCCTAAAATCTCCAATATCTTACAATCCTTACAGTAGTGACTTGATATCAAACGTTCACATCTATCATTCCAGATGTTATAAATGCACTTTTCACACGATTAGTTCATTTGCACTCACGTAGATCAACACTCAGAGCCAAGGAAATGGAGGAAGATTAGTAATAAATTACATATACCCAATCGCTAAATTTTGGAGGGCAAGACTGAACACCTGTACGCGGTGTTCTCTACGAACCTGGGAGTGAAATATTCTCCCGGAGCCAAGTTCAGTCAAATTTCGCAACATCAAAGAAGCTGGCCCACGAGACAAGATTTAAAATTACTCCACCACGTCGTTTTTCCGCTCCCAACGAGTTTGACGCCTACCTAAGTCTCATCAAGTCTACAAGTACGACCTAGTACATCCTCATCCCAATGACCACACCTCTCTTCGACCTTCTCCGGTCTCAGATGACCATCAAATACACGCCCACGCCGATATTTATACCCGACGGAGGAAGCAAAGTGTGGAGCACAAATCTGGGAGACAGTTCTTTGGGATGGACGTGAGAGGGATCAGGACAAGTTTACAAGATGATGCAAAGGAAGGATATAACCTTGAAGGGAGTGAAATTCCGAATCTTGGCAAGCAGTTTTACGAATTGAGCTTTGTGCGCGCCAAGACTTCGCTTGTGAGAGTGCAGCTGACACTATATAAACAAGCCAACGATGGAAGGTGACGTGGTCCGCCTCCTGGTGATGTTCTCTGGTATAGTTTGAGTAGCCTGGGCACCTACTCCACTTGGGAAAGAGACACCTCAGATCACATATCGCGCGGAGAAAAGTTGAAAGATGACGGAGGCATGTCGGGATAACTCAGGGTTTTTGAGACGTTCCCCTGGGTGGGTATTCACGGATAAGAGTTGACTTGGGGTGAAGAAAAAGCCGCCATATCTTCGCAGTGGTACGTGCAAATGAAATTTGAAGCATGAGTGCTCTTCCTTTACGTTGAATCATCTATTCTGTACTTTTCTTTGAAATTTGTGTCATAGCTAGATAGCTGCACGCGCAATTAAAATCTGATACAAAAAAAAATCGCTAAATTTACCTGTAGACTATCCCTAAAATAGACTAGTCACGGTGCTATCTGGAAGTATGTGGGATTGGTTATTTATCATGTACATACTTAGTTCTAAGTCCTCAGACGAAACCTGCTATCTATTAGGATGTAAGACTGGTAGAGCCTGCCGAGATTTGCCCTCAGGCTTATCATGCTCGTTCACGCACATTACCGAGCTAATAAATCTTAAGCTCACTGTACAAGTAATGCAGCAAGGAAGAAATGAAATGAATTAAGGAAATTATAGTTGGTCGTTAGTCAGTATTCCTCGCCCTGGTCTCCCTTCCACCAGCATATTGGTGCTGGTATTTATCCCAAAAATTGACATTGCATTCAGCAGAGAACTAGTTTGCCTCCGGCCTACCAAAGCAGCCTTTGATCTGTGCAAAAGTATTAAACGTCTCTGACGCTTTACGTCCGAGGAGTTGCCTTGTAAGAGCATCTATGCTCAT